TAGTAGCCCAAGAGTTGGCGGTGGGTGGTGATGACTAGCTGCCTTCCCTCTAGTCTTACACTGCTAATTTAGGGACGGCTAGTGCAGGTAGCCCTCGTGTAGCTTTGCACGAAATTCAAAAACAAACTATTAAAAGGAATAGTTTTTTCCCAAATAAAAAAAATATTTAACTGTCAATAAAACTTCATTTATAAACAATATTTAAGTGATATGATAATTAAAAAATTATTGCTTATAAAAGTTGGAAAATTATTAAGTTTTTAAACTGTTTTGTAATGAATACTGTTAATTAAAATATAAATATTTTATAAATGAAATTATTACTTTTATTTATATTTTTCAATCATAAGAGGACGCTGGTATTTCAAGGACATATAAATTATATAAATACTAGTATTTAAACATTTTTTTCCAATTGGAAAGAGTTGTGGTTTAGTGTACTGGGTCGGAATGGCTAACTTCAGGTAGCTGGGGGGTGGTTGTCTCAGCTTACCCGGCTTACACTTGAATCAGTGCGATATAACGGAGGATGTGTGATTAATTGTTAGTGAATTATACTTTGGTAAGTTTATAGATATTATCATCTTATTATTAATCATTTAACGGGTGAGTGTTTGGCCTACGAAATTAGTAAATAAGGGTGGTTTTTCACCGAAAAAAAACTTCTATATTGTTACTTTTAAATTTAAAATCTTGAGGTTTTTTTCAGGGTTGATTACTGGGCTCCCAACTGTTTGTAGATTGGGAGTGGTACTAAATATCTGGACGCTATGGGTTATAGCACCCACCCTTCAATGTTCTCTCCTGCCCCCCCCCCCCAAAAAAAAAAATTTGGGGTGCTATTATTGTAGACATTTTTAAAAAATTGTACCGCTTTGTACATCGACTACTGATATGACTTCAATTGCTTTAACTTTTAAGTCGCTTAAGACTTCATAAACTCGAAATTTTGAACAATAGTTTGCACTAAACGTCTTGGTTTTTATGCAAATTTTCTTTATTACAGAACTTTGGAGTTGTGTTCATTTACTTCAGTATTGTACGACCTTGTATGAATAGAATATAACTTTTGGTACATAACTTAAACTAGTATACTTCGTTCTAACACTAAATCTCTTATCGCTTTAGAGCATGACATCAATATGGACAAAACTACACATGATCCTCCCTAAATTTCTGACAAACAATGAAAGAACATTTACGCTGCTCTGACTAACTTTAGAAGAGCTTAACATCTTAAAACAAATCTGAACAATACGTACGTCTTATTCGTGATCTCGTACCACAAACTGTAAATTCTAACAAAAAAAAATCCCGAACAGAACAATCGTTTTATAGATAGTGAGGCGAACCGGTAACTTGTTTTCTAAGGACAATAACATCACATCGTAAGAAACGCGTACTTACTACTAAGAATACATGTAGGTATTAATGAAAATTGTAATTGCTACTTTGTACACGAAGTTGTACACACATTGAACTTGCGTATTCGTTATTTTGTTTTTTTTCGCATTCTTAAGTAACTAGTCTTGTATACAGACAACTCTTAAGTGGACAACGAAAAATAACTACGTGATGTCATCTTAAATTATGAATATTATAGTTCCTGTTTTTTCATCATACTGTGCTTTTCGTTTCTTAACGTTAAGACTAAAGATTTCATTCGGTGTGCCACATCTCCTCGTTATGCTTAACCCCTAGAATTATAGGTATTTCATCCTAAACTCGTGTAATGTTTAGCGGTTTACTTGTATCCATACGCTTAGTCTTTAAAGACGTTGGCTGAGCCTTTCGGTTTCCTTAAATAACAAACTGTATCAATGTGACCTTGATATCTAACCTAAAGTACAGTATTAGGTCGTCAAGAAACTAATATCATTTTTAAGACTAAAAACTCGGAACAAACTGTATATTAAGACGTTTTATTAAATGAAATAATCTCCATTCTTATCGATGATGCTTTCCACCTTCCACAATTGCATAACTTTTGCCTTTAAGATGGTGTTGCAGCGAACAAAAAAGATGGTAATCTGATGGTGCCATATGTGGAGAATATGGTGGGTTGGGGAGAACTTTCCAAGCGAACTCCATAATCTTGTGTTGCGTCAAACGTGCCACATGTGGACGAACATTGTCGTGGAGAAGAACATCTTTCCGATTGACGAGTAGAGGGCGTTTCTGATGAAGGGCTTGATTTTAAATGTTCCAGTTGCTGAATATAGATATCTCCATTGACAGTTCGCCGTGGATTGAGGATTTCGAAATTAATTTTTCCTTTGTCCCATCGAATGCAAAGCATCACTTTCTGCGGATGGAGTCCAGGTTTTGGAGTCGGAAGTGGTTTTTGTCTAGCACTGGGCCATTGTTTTTGGTGTTTAGCATTCTCGTAGAGAATCCATTTTTCATCGCCGGTGACAATTCTGTCCAAAAATGGTTCGCGCGCCAGAAGAGACGAAGCGACGTTCACACGTTGAAAGCAATGACCATCTGAGAGTTCGTGAGGCACCCAAACATCTTAGATGTTTAGTATTGTTTCATGAGACGTGTGATTTCACGAGTGTGTTGCCCTGGGTTAGACTCAACAAGCGTCTTCAGAGCATCAATATAAGTAGTTCTCACATGTACGCCCCTGTCATCACAGTTTTTAAGGCTAAAGTCACCTGAACGAATTAGTTTAATCGCTTGTGCAGTATATCACACCCACCCCCAAAGGTGTGAAAGTTAAATTCAAATCGTTAACTACCAAATGTAGCCCACACCTAATGTAACTGGATATATAAGATTGTTTTATATATACAACTGAACTGCTTAACCTTTCATACCCCCTTAAAATGACTACGAACAGAACATTCCAGTATACATGATGGATAACGATTACATTTTGTTTTTTTTAAAAAAAAAAAGCTTCTTACCATTTGGTCTTTGCCACTTTTGTCAAAGTGACAGCCATAGTACAAATAGCTGTCTCCGTTTTTATTACTTCGTGGTTTTACAGTACTATTTCAAACCCCGGTAGGTCAGTGGTAAGTTTAGAGACTTGCTGTAACAAAATCCGGGGTTCGACTGCCTTTGTTAGACAGAGTGAGAGATACTTTTTTAAGTTCCATTTGAAAATCCGTTGGGGCCTTAAAATGTAATTAATATTGTAAGTACTCTATAGTTATTTGATATTGGGAACAAGTTGGCTTACTGGTTATCTGAATAATATCAATTCGGTGTTTTTTAATTCAGACTTGGTTAGACTACGTAACTGCATGTTTCCTACAATGTCAATTAGTCTCAATGACAATCTATTTTCTATTCAGTAAGTATCCTTACTAGTAGGGATTGTTGGCTTTAAAAGTACTACAACTCAACAGATTCGGCCTAGAAGTTCCTAGCAAGCAATAGGTATACGTTAGTCTTTTCCCCACAAACTATTAATCTTGTTTGAAGTTATCTTTCTATATTTGTTTGGAGATGAGTAACTAAATTTGCACCTAATAAATGCGATTCTGCTTCTTCAAAACACTATTACTGTGACTTTAAGAAGAAAAAAACTTACCTTCAGGTCCCTAAAAAAGATGGTATTCCTGGCCCAGTCGACTTGAGCAAACAAAGATTGATCGATTACTTTGCACATCAGTTCGAAGAGGTCAACTTCACATTGGTTATACGTCTGACTTTGAAGAAGGTTAAATAAATGTCCCTGCCAGTCTTTATCATCTACAAATGACGTTTGAAATTCTCTGATAAGATCAGGTATGTTGCTTCCTCCTGTCACCAGGGGAACTGGGCCTGCTGTTGAAGGGCCGGGATCGCACTGGTAAGGTTTGGGTGAATACGTAGGATGATGAATAATGGGATTAGGGGGAGACGTGGTCGGATGGGGTGTGGTCATCCACGTTGTCTTGCTGAGGTCCCTGAGATGAGAAACGGAAGGATGCTGCTGTTGATTGGCTAGTTGTGAGTGCTGAGATGTATGATGCTGGGTAGTAGTTGGTAGAGATGAAGATGAATCGGGGGAACTGGTAGAAGAACTGAGATGGGGGATTTGAATCAGTTCTTGTTTCACCTGAGTTAGATCTGGAGAATACATTGGGGGAGCGCCTGTTGTCACTGATACCACTGGAGGTAGAAAAGGATTGGAAGATCCCATTTCTTGCGGGGACGATAAACACTGTGTATGAACAACCTGCTTCTGACGTAATAGCTGTAACTTCCTTGCCCTGTCACGTTTGTACATAGGCCCGAATTTGTTTCTACCTCCTCTCATTCGATCTGGTCTCACAGCTGTTGAAACGAGAACAGTTGATGAATAACAATCGTAAGTTATACACGCTTATCTGAAAAAAAAGGCTAGTGTTACGGATTTCGGTCATTCAGATTTTCAAGATAACTTTCTATGAACTTGCACAGAAACTACTTGTCAAAAACGTTATTCTTTTCATTCTGTCCATACTTGTAATTCACTGATTTGAATATCTATATTATAATCTAACTTCAAAAGTACCCTTAGTGTGGTGGGGAACCGAACTTTTAACTCTGTTTTAGATTTTGACTTCACTTTTTCTGGGTTTCATTTCACTTGTCTTTACCTGAAAATTGAATTTGTCATCAATCATTACCTCTTTAACACTACAATAATTGTGAGAAACATTTGTCTCGTAGTGAATAATGTACGAAAACTTTAAGCTCTGCAGTTTCGAGCTATAATGGCTCTCGTGGACCCAGGGTTGAAAAGATGTGTAAAAACAAAGTGTACGCCGTCGACACTTGTAGAACACAAGTACGTGTATTAATAATGTGCAAGGTTTTTTGTAATGCGTAAAGAATGGTGGTGTTATTAATGGACGACGTCCCTACTGTAGACTGAAAATACTCATCGTCTTGTCCAATAGACAATACTCTTTAAAAGAAACTCTCAAAATGTGATGGAAAATGAAGATAAACCGAGAGAAATGTAGCTTCTCGCAGGTGCGTTAAATTTTAATACTTGCATTAAAAAAAAATCAATACAAAATAAAAGGCAGACGTATGGATTCATTAAAAGAATGTATATTTTCGGCCTTGTGCTAATTAACAAAGCTAGAACTGAACATGTTTCTTAGTTTTTAAACATTTATTTTAGGCTGATTCCTAATAACTTAAAACGAGAAGGTAGCTGTATCCGCAACACGTGCAAGATTTTCTAATTCTTTCTCGTTCTCTTTGGATGATGTCGTGATTGTTTTCAGTAACTTTTTTTTCCTTCTTCCTTAATCTAAACACTATCTTAAATATTTCGATGCAAGGTTCGTTTAGTCTACTTGTTTCTCGGACGTATTTACATCAGTTGTATGTGATTTTTATGGATGACTCCATTGTTATTTACAGTGAGGTAATTAAAGTAATTAATTTTCAATGCCAAGATTGTATGATTATGGTATTTATGTCTATCTCATGTTTTGTTTTGAGAGTGTCTTCCATAATCTGACTAGGTTTTTCGACATGACCAATTGTAGTATTGTTAAAGTATATCTTTCGAATTTTTTTTCCAATATTTAGATTGTCCAGAGAAATTAAAATTAGATTTTGGAAATTCATTTTCAGTTTACACTGTAAACTTGTCCACAATATTCAATACCAATTGCTTAAAACAATTGAAGGTTCCTAGTTTGTACGGCGTGCGGTTTTCCAATTAACTTATTGATCAGTCTTTTTTATTTTTTTTTTTTGTCGATGAATTTGTCTCAGATCTTGATCGTTTTCTTATGACGTAATTCTGAAACAGTATGCAGAATTGTTAATTTTCAATTGTTGAAATGAACGTTAGGATGTGTTGCTCATGTGGCTTAGAAATCTTGAAGGTGAAGCCACCGGAAACATTGACCCTACCTCAACCACTCTGTGGATTTGGAGATTGCAGTGTTTTAAGACCAGTTTTTTCTTACTACTTCTCTTCTGCCCCCCCCCCTCTTAGTTCTTAAAATAAAAAGG